GGTATAGAAGGGTACACAGGTTCATGTGTAGAGGGATATAGAAGGGTTACACAGGTTCATGTGTAGAGGGATATAGGAGGGTGCACAGGTTTATGTGAAGAGAGTATAGAAGGGTTACACAGGTTCACGTGTAGAGGGATATAGAAGGGTTACACAGGTTCATGTGTAGAGGGATATAGAAGAGTTACACAGGTTCATGTGTAGAGGGTATAGAAGGGTTACACAGGTTCATGTGTAGAGGGTATAGAAGGGTACACAGGTTCATGTGTAGAGGGATATAGAAGGGTTACACAGGTTCATGTGTAGAGGGATATAGAAGGGTTACACAGGTTCATGTGTAGAGGGGTATATGTGAAGGGTTACACAGGTTCATGTGTAGAGGGTATAGACAGGGTTTACACAGGTTCATGTGTAGAGGGTATAGAAGGGTTACACAGGTTCATGTGTAGAGGGTATAGAAGGGTTACACAGGTTCATGTGTAGAGGGATATAGAAGGGTTACACAGGTTCTTGTGTAGAGGGATTACACAGGTTCATGTGTAGAGGGTTATAGAAGGGTACACAGGTTCATGTGTAGAGGGGTATAGAAGGGTTACACAGGTTCATGTGTAGTGGGTATAGAAGGGTTACACAGGTTCACGTGTAGTGGGTATAGAAGGGTACACAGGTTCATGTGTAGAGGGAAGGGTTACACAGGTTCATGTGTAGAGGGATATAGAAGGGTTACACAGGTTCATGTGTAGAGGGGTATAGAAGGGTTACACAGGTTCATGTGTGTATAGAGGGATATGTGAGAGGGTTACACAGGTTCATGTGTAGAGGGATATAGAAGGGTTACACAGGTTCATGTGTAGAGGGTACACAGGTTATGTGTAGAGGGATTACACAGGTTCATGTGTAGAGGGGTATAGAAGGGTTACACAGGTTCATGTGTGTATAGAGGGTTACACAGGTTCATGTGTAGAGGGATATAGAAGGGTTACACAGGTTCATGTGTAGAGGGTATAGAAGGGTTACACAGGTTATGTGTAGAAGAGTTACACAGGTTCATGTGTAGAGGGTATAGAAGGGTTACACAGGTTCATGTGTAGAGGGTATAGAAGGGTTACACAGGTTCACGTGTAGAGGGTATAGAAGGGTACACAGGTTCATGTGTAGAGGGATATAGAAGGGTTACACAGGTTCATGTGTAGAGGATTTTAGAAGGGTTACACAGGTTCATGTGTAGAGGTATAGAAGGGTTACACAGGTTCATGTTTAGAGGGTTACACAGGTTATGTGTAGAGGGAAGGGTTACACAGGTTCATGTGTAGAGGGATATAGAAGGGTTACACAGGTTCATGTGTAGAGGGATATAGAAGAGTTACACAGGTTCATGTGTAGAGGGTATAGAAGGGTACACAGGTTCATGTGTAGAGGGGTATAGAAGTGTTACACAGGTTCATGTGTAGAGGGGTATAGAAGGGTACACAGGTTCATGTGTAGAGGGATATAGAAGGGTTACACAGGTTCATGTGTAGAGGGGTATAGAAGGGTTACACAGGTTCATGTGTAGAGGGGTATAGAAGGGTTACACAGGTTCATGTGTAGAGGGATATAGAAGGGTTACACAGGTTCATGTGTAGAGGGGTATAGAAGGGTTACACAGGTTCATGTGTAGAGGGGTATAGAAGGGTTACACAGGTTCATGTGTAGAGGGGTATAGAAGGGTTACACAGGTTCATGTGTAGAGGGTTAGGGTATAGAAGGGTTACACAGGTTCATGTGTAGAGGGGTATAGAAGGGTTACACAGGTTCATGTGTAGAGGGGTATAGAAGGGTTACACAGGTTCATGTGTAGAGGGGTATAGAAGGGTTACACAGGTTCATGTGCAGAGGTATAGAAGGGTACACAGGTTCATGTGTAGAGGGATATGGACAGGTACACAGGTTCATGTGTAGAGGGGTATAGAAGGGTTACACAGGTTCATGTGTAGAGGGGTATAGAAGGGTTACACAGGTTCATGTGTAGAGGGGTATAGAAGGGTTACACAGGTTCATGTGTAGAGGGGTATAGAAGGGTTACACAGGTTCATGTGTAGAGGGGTATAGAAGGGTTACACAGGTTCATGTGTGTAGAAGGGTTACACAGGTTCATGTGTAGAGGGGTATAGAAGGGTACATACAGGTTCATGTGTAGAGGGGTATAGAAGGGTACATACAGGTTCATGTGTAGAGGGGTATAGAAGGGTTACACAGGTTCATGTGTAGAGGGGTATAGAAGGGTACATACAGGTTCATGTGTAGAGGGGTATAGAAGGGTTACACAGGTTCATGTGTAGAGGGGTATAGAAGGGTACATACAGGTTCATGTGTAGAGGGGTATAGAAGGGTACATACAGGTACATATAAAGGAATTACCAGGGGTAGGATTAAGATAAGTATTTTCTCTTGTGTAATATTTAAGTAATGTATTTTTAATGAGCTGGTAATTTTTAGGGAGGACGAACAAGAAAGTGAAAGAGAAGACAATAGAACCCTTAAAAACAGATTCAAGAATTATGAGAAGGATGATCAAGTTTCATATGAAATGTATGTACTACATCTTTGTCGTAATGATAATACTATTGGCCGTACAAATGTACCAAATCAGCATCACTATAGTGACCAAATATTGATCTACAATGTACATGTAGCCGATCCTAAATCATGGTAAATAACCAAGTAATTCTGTGTCAGAAAAATGTCAAACAAGCTAAAACATGGGATATAACATAGAGCTGTGACAGATCATAGGGCATCATTGTCCAGTTCTGATATCAAATGTTGCAGCTCTTTGATTTAAACAATGATTATTCGATACAGATTGACATATGACAGTTGTTATACTTGGTTCCAAGAGATGCCCACTTGATATGGACATGCAGGTCTCGTGTTTCTCTGTATTCAATTTACAAAAATCTTGGTGTTTTGTCACTTCTGACAGAAAGTTATCCATTGTGGGATTAGAGAGTCAACAGAAAATCACTGTCAGTGTCACACAGTAGCATTAGAAATCTCATGGAAATTTAGTACTGGGGTTTGGCTCTGACATTGTTGCTGATCATACGAACAATTACATTTGTAAAAAATAAAGATAGAAAAACATTTTCTAGCAAAATCTATAACTTTTTTAGTGAAGGTCGGATTTTAGATTTTTACACATGCAATATATGTTAATCATGAACTCAAAATCACATGTGAAATTTGCACAAACTATTTCTTTAGGACATTTAGGCCTTGAGTCATGAGTGTGTCGCCTTATAGGTGGGTATGGTTACAGGTTTTCTAAATACAAAGATAAATATCAATTCCTGGCTCCAGGCTTCAGTTTCATGACCATGCGATTCCAAAATTTTCATCTATTACTATATCCTGATGTTAGCATAAAATTAGAGTGGTACAGGCCCCTGGGACCTCTTGTGCTGAAAGATCTTTATATGGCACTTGAACAGCTGTGTGAATGGGTGAAAATGTTGTAAGTGTTTTATTTTTTTTTGCAAAAATTGAGAGTCAGTTTGTTATTCTACACATGTCAAGGAGACATTTTTTGGTAAAGGGTCCTGTAATTGTGCACATGTCAAGGAGACATTTCTTGGTAATGGGTCCTGTAATTGTGCACATGTCAAGGAGACATTTCTTGGTAACGGGTCCTGTAATTGTGCACATGTCAAGGAGACATTTTTTGGTAACGGGTCCTGTAATTGTGCACATGTCAAGGAGACATTTTTTGGTAAAGGGTCCTGTAATTGTGCACATGTCAAGGAGACATTTTTTGGTAACGGGTCCTGTAATTGTGCACATGTCAAGGAGACATTTCTTGGTAATGGGTCCTGTAATTGTGCACATGTCAAGGAGACATTTTTTGGTAACGGGTCCTGTAATTGTGCACATGTCCAGGAGACATTTCTTGGTAACGGGTCCTGTAATTGTGCACATGTCAAGGAGACATTTTTTGGTAAAGGGTCCTGTAATTGTGCACATGTCAAGGAGACATTTTTTGGTAACGGGTCCTGTAATTGTGCACATGTCCAGGAGACATTTCTTGGTAACGGGTCCTGTAATTGTGCACATGTCAAGGAGACATTTTTTGGTAAAGGGTCCTGTAATTGTGCACATGTCAAGGAGACATTTCTTGGTAACGGGTCCTGTAATTGTGCACATGTCAAGGAGACATTTTTTGGTAAAGGGTCCTGTAATTGTGCACATGTCAAGGAGACATTTTTTGGTAAAGGGTCCTGTAATTGTGCACATGTCAAGGAGACATTTCTTGGTAAAGGGTCCTGTAATTGTGCACATGTCAAGGAGACATTTTTTGGTAAAGGGTCCTGTAATTGTGCACATGTCAAGGAGACATTTTTTGGTAAAGGGTCCTGTAATTGTGCACATGTCAAGGAGACATTTTTTGGTAAAGGGTCCTGTAATTGTGCACATGTCAAGGAGACATTTTTTGGTAAAGGGTCCTGTAATTGTGCACATGTCAAGGAGACATTTTTTGGTAAAGGGTCCTGTAATTGTGCACATGTCAAGGAGACATTTCTTGGTAATGGGTCCTGTAATTGTGCACATGTCAAGGAGACATTTTTTGGTAAAGGGTCCTGTAATTGTGCACATGTCAAGGAGACATTTTTTGGTAAAGGGTCCTGTAATTGTGCACATGTCAAGGAAACATTTCTTGGCAACGGGTCCTGTAATTATGCTCATGTCAATACTTAAGGTTTCCACACAAGGTCCAAAATGTTAATACTTAGGGTTTCCACACAAGGAGGGTCTGAAATGTCAATAGCCAGGGTGTCCACACAAATGTCAGTTCAATTATTGAATTAAACCATTAACAATAAAGTCAATATCAGCAATAAAGCAATGAAGTTAGGAATGACTTCGTAGGGAAGCCTGTGGGAAATCTTTGCAATGTTGGTTATTGGTATGGTTTGAAAGTGATACAACATGTCTCTAAAGGTTTCTGCTTGATCTTGTCACAGGTATGCAGCCGACAGGTGACGTAGCCACTAATGTTCCCCAGGAACTTGCCGACCTTGTGGCAAAGCTGGTCTTGGAAAAGTTCAGTGAGCTCACAAATGGCTTTACAAGTCCCCAGGCACGAAGGAAAGTACTTGCTGGTGTTGTCATGACAACAGGGGAGGATGCTACCAATGCTAAAGTGCTTTGTGTGACTACAGGAACCAAGTGTATTAATGGCGAGTACATGAGTGATAAGGGCATGTCTCTGAATGACTGTCATGCAGAAATTCTGTCACGTCGCTGTGTACTCCGTTTCTTACATGCAGAGCTTGCCAAGCATTTATCCATGGAGGATGAAGTAAAGAACACTTCCATATTTGTTGATCGTGAGGGGGGAGGGTTCGCACTCCGCGAGGGTGTGCACTTCCACTTGTATGTGAGTACCGCCCCCTGTGGAGACTCGCGTATCTTCTCACCCCACGAAACAGCAAACGAGCCTGGTGATTCAGGAGACAAACATCCAAATCGAAAGGCAAGAGGACAACTACGCACAAAGATTGAGTCAGGTGAAGGAACCATACCAATCAAGTCATCAGCAGGCATACAGACTTGGGATGGAATACTGGAAGGCGAGCGCCTCCTCACCATGTCCTGTAGTGACAAAATAGCTCGTTGGAATGTTCTCGGTATCCAAGGTCAGTATTATAGTGTCAGATAGGTCATACAGCTATGTTTAGTTTAACTGTCATCATCTTTGTGTCAGATAGGCCATACAGCTATGTCTAGTTTAACTGTCATCATCTTTGTGTCAGATAGGCCATACAGCTATGTCTAGTTTAACTGTCATCATCTTTGTGTCAGATAGGCCATACAGCTATGTCTAGATTAACTGTCATCATCTTTGTGTCAGATAGGCCATACAGCTATGTCTAGTTTAACTGTCATCATCTTTGTGTCAGATAGGTCATACAGCTATGTCTAGTTTAACTGTCATCATCTTTGTGTCAGATAGGCCATACAGCTATGTCTAGTTTAACTGTCATCATCTTTGTGTCAGATAGGCCATACAGCTATGTCTAGTTTAACTGTCATCATCTTTGTGTCAGATAGGCCATACAGCTATGTCTAGTTTAACTGTCATCATCTTTGTGTCAGATAGGCCATACAGCTATGTCTAGTTTAACTGTCATCATCTTTGTGTCAGATAGGCCATACAGCTATGTCTAGTTTAACTGTCATCATCTTTGTGTCAGATAGGCCATACAGCTATGTCTAGTTTAACTGTCATCATCTTTGTGTCAGATAGGCCATACAGCTATGTCTAGTTTAACTGTCATCATCTTTGTGTCAGATAGGCCATACAGTTATGTCTAGTTTAACTGTCATCATCTTTGTGTCAGATAGGCCATACAGCTATGTCTAGTTTAACTGTCATCATCTTTGTGTCAGATAGGCCATACAGCTATGTCTAGTTTAACTGTCATCATCTTTGTGTCAGATAGGTCATACAGCTATGTCTAGTTTAACTGTCATCATCTTTGTGTCAGATAGGCCATACAGCTATGTCTAGTTTAACTGTCATCATCTTTGTGTCAGATAGGCCATACAGCTATGTCTAGTTTAACTGTCATCATCTTTGTGTCAGATAGGCCATACAGTTATGTCTAGTTTAACTGTCATCATCTTTGTGTCAGATAGGCCATTCAGCTATGTCTAGTTTAACTGTCATCATCTTTGTGTCAGATAGGCCATAACTGTCATCATCTTTGTGTCAGATAGGCCATACAGTTATGTCTAGTTTAACTGTCATCATCTTTGTGTCAGATAGGCCATACAGCTATGTCTAGTTTAACTGTCATCATCTTTGTGTCAGATAGGCCATTCAGTTATGTCTAGTTTAACTGTCATCATCTTTGTGTCAGATAGGCCATACAGTTATGTCTAGTTTAACTGTCATCATCTTTGTGTCAGATAGGCCATACAGCTATGTCTAGTTTAACTGTCATCATCTTTGTGTCAGATAGGCCATTCAGTTATGTCTAGTTTAACTGTCATCATCTTTGTGTCAGATAGGCCATTCAGTTATGTCTAGTTTAACTGTCATCATCTTTGTGTCAGATAGGCCATACAGCTATGTCTAGTTTAACTGTCATCATCTTTGTGTCAGATAGGCCATTCAGTTATGTCTAGTTTAACTGTCATCATCTTTGTGTCAGATAGGCCATTCAGTTATGTCTAGTTTAACTGTCATCATCTTTGTGTCAGATAGGCCATACAGCTATGTCTAGATTAACTGTCATCATCTTCAGAAAAAAAAAACTCACATGACCTAAAGGTAAAATTGACTTCCGCTTTAATATAACTTTATCACACACTACCTTGCCCACCTGTCCTTACCTGCCCTTACCTGTATAAAATGTAATCACAGACTACCTGGCCCACCTGTTCTTACCTGTATAATGTGTAATCATAGACTTCCAAGCCAATCTTTGATCAACAGTGGAAGTCTGATTAAATATTCTGTTTTTATAAAGGAAATATTTGTTATTATGGTATTCAGACAGATAAATGTGTGTAGTAGTTAGTTATTAATCACCTATATATGGCCTGTTCTACATTTTCAGTGTATGTAACAATAGGGACACCAGTGTTATCAGTGGTAATCTGTATCACTATCTACACACTGTGCCCCATGTCTCAGAAACTGCATTTGTTACTTGGTTTTATGTCAGTGTGTCCATTACAACTTCACTTTTTGATGTCTTTTTGTGATTCAAAACTTCATGTTTCTTTTTGATGACTTACAAAGGTTAAGCCTGTGTACAGTAGATGGACTGATCAAATCGCCTTTTATCCATTGTCTGTCCGTCTGTCCAGACTTGAAAATTTTTGTTATCACTATTTGCAGAGAATTAATGGATGAGTCATTTTAAAATTTCAAATGTTGGTTTAATTTGAATTCTAGTTATGCATGGTTTTTTTTTTTTTTTAAATAAATCGGAAACCAAAATGGCAGCCTATCAGCCATCTTGGTTTTTGTCAGTTGTAGTTTGTTATAGCTAATTCTTGAGAAGTAATGGTTGGATCTTTGTCTTTCTGTTTTTCTTTGTCCAATTGTTGTGCATTGTCCGTTTTAGATATATCAGAAAAATAAAATATCTGACAGCTGCAGGCAGCCATGATTTTGTCAGTATTAATTTGTTATCACTATTTCTGGAGAAGTACTAGATAAATCAGTCATAAACTTTAATCATTCGTCTGGTCCTAAGTTTTACATGTCTGGGATTGATCAGACAATTAAATGACTGACAGCAATCATCAACTTACTAGCATGTACTCTATTGATCATTTTTAAATTTCAGTTTGCATTCATCTTGGTTGATTGCTGTGTATGTTTGATAAAAGCACAAAGCTATGACAAAGTTTGTTATCACCATTTCTTTTGGAGAACATGATGGATCATTCGGAAATGTATTTTCTTATTATTAGGACTGATCGGGTAAAAGTGGCCCACAGGTGACAATTTCAGACATTGAGTGTGAAAGTTTATTATATCTGTTTCTGGAGAAACTCTGAAAGAATCACTCTCAAATCTCATATTATTTTTGTTTCCTTTTGTCCCAAGTTTTTTATAGATCAGATTAACAAAATGGCTGACATATACATAATCAATTTAGTAATAACAACAATACAGACAACTGAAAAATTCAAGTCAAATTTTCAATACACAAATGTTACTTAAATTACATCACATACATAGAACATAAAACAGATCCAAAGTTATAAACTACAATCGGGAATGGTGGTGTAAATTAAGGTATCTCACTCATCCCTTAGGCCAATGTATGCCGAAGGCCCTTTATAAGGGACAAAAAACATCTGAAGGTGTTGTATGAAAGATGGTGATTCAAATATCAAAATTTTTTATATAAACCTCAGTACATTGTGCACTGTAGCCACTGAGCATATATGTGATTGCAGGAAAAAACAGATTTTTTTCATGTCACACTCCAAGGAAGGAATGTTTGATTAAAAAATAAGAAAAATTCATTGTAAAAAAAATGAATGAATTTAGTTACAATTAAAAGTATTTTTGATAAAAATCACCAGTTGAATGCACAGAATTTTTTTAAAATATTATTTTGAATATGGTCCAATAGGCCCCAGATTCATCAAGTTAGCCCAAGAAAACAAGATTGTCTTCCTCTGGACTAAAGTTGATAATTGGCACCAATTTAAAATAGGAACAAAAGCAGAGACTTAGCAACTAAATGAAAAGTACAATACATTTGGAAAGGAGTGTATGAAAAATGAAATGGGGTGGGGGTTGGGGGTGGGGGTTGGGGGTGGGGGAACAATTCTTTTCCTGTAGGAGTTGGTGGCGTAGGAAAGTACCAGTTACCAGGTATGTATGACCAGACACGTTTGATGTATGAAGATCATCTCTTGTTCGTGCCGAGTGGGTAGCAAGTTTGGAGTTGGTGGATCCAGTGTTGTTCTAACTGAGGCGTTGCTGGCCACCCATACTCCTGCTATACATATATAGATTTTTGTTTTTGACAAATTAGGTTTACTATTGCTGATTTTAGATGGTTCTTTGTTTAAAATTGCATATGTTGGTGCCTTCTTGTCAAATTTACCATTGTAACTAGTCAGATATTAAAAATAGTGACAGGGAAGCATCATGGATGTAGATAGTTATTACTTTTTGTTATTGTGATTTTTCATAAAAGCACTCAATAATTTGTTCTTAAAATATCATCTATAGGTTTCCCTTGGACCTTAGTTTCACATATTCAACTTTGTGATTGATTTGAGAAATAGATAGAAAAAAAAAATAGGTTGTCTTCATATATACATGTGTATGTTCTTACAGATTGTTTCAAGTATCTCTTTAGATAGACTGGATGGACAGGTTTAAACTTTTATATAAACCTGTAGAATTATAGCATCAAATGATGTTATATTATAGAATCAGCTGTCTGTTCAACAAATACCTGGTAGTTAAGATTAAATGAGAGAAAGGGAAATGCTCCAACTTATATTACTGATAAAGATTCAACAGTGATGGTGGATGAGATCCCCTTATTTTGGTAGGTTGATAATTTTCAAATTTTTGAAAATGTTGTCTTACGTAATTAAGACACAAACATCAAGTGTTAGGTACCATTCTTTGATAGTTTTCGGTGATACCACTTACAAGTGTTTTTTTTGTTTTTTCATAAAACCACTATCAGGTGCTTTCCCCAAGTGTGGAAGAGTTATGTCCCTTAGAACCACTATAAGGGTATTTTGTTCCAAGTTTAGGAGAGTGGTGTCCCTTAGGCATTTATATCTTTATCTAAGTTGCTAATTAAAGATAGGAAGAATTGTTATTTGCTTGTCTTGAATTGTGCAGAATCTATGAAGGTTGAAATTGTTTTGATATTTAATCACTGATATCCTGTTTATGTATGTTGACAGGAGCCCTACTAAGCCATTTTATACAGCCCATCTACTTTGACAGTATAATCCTGGGGAGTTTATATCATGGCGACCACCTGTCACGAGCTGTGTGTACACGCCTGTCAGGCATAGAAAACATCTTTGAGCCCTATCATCTCCACCAGCCGTACCTCAGCGGCATCAGCAATCCGGAGAGTCGTCAGCCAGGAAAAGCACCAAACTTCGCAGTCAACTGGTGTTGTACCGATCCCAGTCTTGAGGTTATCAATGCTATGACTGGCAAACTGGAGGATGGTGGCGTTTCACGTCTGTGTAAAAATTCTTTGTTCGAGTCATTCTCAAAACTGTATGGCTGTCTGCCATCTTTAACCAGCCAAACTGTAATTGCCAAGCCTAGGACTTACTCAGAGGCCAAGGGCGCTGTCATGGACTACCAACTTGCCAAGTCGCAGCTTTTCAAGACATTCCAGTCACTTGGACTTGGCAGCTGGGTGAAGAAACCTATAGAACAAGACCAGTTTACACTGGACCCTACACAGATCTCTTCTCACAGCTAACCAGGACAGGAAGTCATCACATGATAGGGATTGGGCATGACAGAAAGTTGTTGTTAGATGGAAGTAAACTCAGCATCGCAGAAAGTCATTAGGTCATGGCCGACTGACCACAGGTCAGCTTGGCAGGACGTCATTGGATTAAGGTAGACTGACCACTATAGAAAATTGTAAGATTTGTGTGAACTAGACATGACAGAAAGTTTGAACGAGTGAAAGTGATCACAGTTTCCTCAAGATTTTTTACACATAAGCCATTTTTTAGTCATTGTGTTCAAAACAAATTTGACTGGTTGGCCCAGAGCTGTCCGTTTATGAAGTGAAGATGGACCTTAGAATCAGAAAGTTTTTTAAGCATAGAAATCAAACTTTCAAGGATGACATGTGAAGAATAATGAAACTTAACAATTGAAATATCAATTCAAAAACAACCAAACTAAAAGAGTTAAACCCTCAAAGGTAACCAGTGGAAAGGAAAACTGGTGTTTGGTAGATGTCTTTTTCATTTTTGTATCAATACACAAATCAACAAGTAATGTTTTCAAATTATAAATCTTTAGACCACACAATGCTAATTTCTGCTTTATCGTTTTCTTCAAGATTAAGAATTTTTCTATTCTGCAAACAGCATTAATTAGATTAATATGTATATCAAGCATTTTAAATCATGAAGCAACATTTCCATTAAGTCTTGGATTAATTTCCTCACGTGGACATGAAAAGTGTTGAGTTAACTGAATGACCAGATCTCTTGAGTATCCATGTAACTACTGTACACTGTTCTTTACTGAGCATACAAGAATAACTCATTGAAAATGATGTAATATATTTACTGCAAAATAAACAAAGTGTAAGTCAAAAACTGAAAAAAAAAATTAAAAAAGGGAAAAGACTTAAAATAGTTTTGTGTATTTATGAAATGTTGTTTCTTTGATTATAAAGGGGAATGAAGAAAGGCTCTGTCTGTGTCATCTGACTGTAAAGTTAAAACTAAGTAAATGTAAGGACAATAGGACAACCCTTACCATGGTGACATCTCCATTTTGATATAAGTTACTTATAAAGTTGTTACCTTCTAAAGTTGTAAATGTGAAAATATTGTTAGAACAAAGAAAAATTTGACATGGCCTACTTTGTGGGGCACTTTTTTTTCTCTCTTGAATATTTCCAAATGTATCTATGTCCATGGAACAGTCACAGTCTTGTTGATATAATTGACTTCAATTTTTTATTGTTCCTTTAGAACTTTTAAGCAATCAATCATATGTGATCTCAATCAGGTAAAGTATAATGCTTCCTGACTAGGTGGTGAAAGATTTTGACTCCGTAGTGTATGAATGTTTGTGTGTTTGTTTTCATCTTTTATAAGATGGTTGGTTTATAAACAAATATGTATAAATTTATCAAAAGCTTTTTTACTCCCTATCAAAACATTCATAACTTTTTACCTTTCTAAAATCAAAAATAGCTTTTATTTGGGTTGGCTTTGACTTCAAGCCTCCATGTTTACTAACATTCTTCTTTGTGTTTTAAGGAACGGTGTTACCAGAATTTGTCAGGTCAACCTAATATTGGTGATACTGTGACTTAATTAAATTGTAAAAAGTGCTAAAATCACCTAATATTTCTTTTCTTTTGATCAGTGTTTAAAAGTTTCAAATTTAATTTTAAGATTTAACATAGTCAAATTAATATTCTAATACAACATCTTAATACATACAGTTGTGATAAGTATCAATTAGAATTGATTATAAGGTGTTTGCCTTTGATGACCCATTAAAACACCCTGTCACCCTTGATTTAAAGACAATGACCAGGTATTGACAAGAGGTTGGCGACATTTTGGGAACATTGTTTTGTATACAATCTCAACACAGCAAACATAGATTTAAATGCTTCCTTTATATAATTATTTTGTTTATTTTTCTCTCCTATTGATGTTCTAATGTTGTATTTACATTAATTGGTGTAGCATATTTTACTTATTCATTTGTATTTTTAAGAGAACAAATGTTTTTAATGTTTCTCCCTTGATTATGGAAGTAGAGGAACTGATATTCTACTCAGTACCTTTGCTTTCTTTGTTCATAGAATGAAACTGTGTTTAATTCCTTACCAGATATATTTAATGTAGGTTTTGTATCAGATAATGAGCCCCAGGCTGTTCTTTTAAACTTTGTGTATAGCTTAATATAGTGTTTGATGCCATTAGTGTCTCGTAGCATACAGTTTTTTAATAGACCAAAGTCAAATCATACAGATCCGTTGTTTAGATATATTGGGAGGGTGTTTAAAACATTCCTAAATGTGAAATACATATGTTTTCATGATCCAAAGAAGTTTTTTTCTTATTTTTCAATTTGTTAAGATAAGGAATGATGAGAAGGATTTATTAGAATAACTTAGGTTACACAGAGATATGGATCTGTGTGCCTTTTGTCTGCAACATTTTTTATTCCTCAGTTGGAACAGCTGACACTTGTTAACATATTTATAGGGAAATTGCAATTATTCTAATTTTTTAAGTCCTTAATTCTTAATTCTCGGAAAAGTATGTTTTAATTTTGTGTTTGAAATGGACTAAAAGAAAGCAGGTTTTAAGAATATTCATGAAAAAATTACCAGATCTTTCTCCTGATAGAGAAGGTTGAGAAGCGTGTTTTCTCTCACTGAAGGGGATGACAGAGAAATATCCTGCACACTTTTTGAAATATTTAACAGATTGGTGAAGAAACCGTAGATCATGAAGTACAGACCTCTCTCTGTATGTGATTCAGTCCTGATTGATTGGTATTTTGTGTTAGACAGATTCTATCCAGTCACTAACTTCTTGTTATGTTTTTAAACTTAAATGAGATTTATTTGCAAGTCTGTTTCAAGATAGTGTTATATGCTGTCCTATCAATCAACTGAGTGACTGATGAAGATGTTATAGTTATGTAATTTGTATAAAATCTAATGAAAGTTATTCGTTAATATGACTTGCTGTTATCTGATGGGCCATAACTGGTGGAGGTTTTATTTAAGTAAGAAATGAGACTATTGTATTTCTATCTTACAATTGATATGGACTTTTCTATAGAAAGTCTACTTTGCAAGTCTGAAGACACCAAACATATAAACATACACTCATTGTTATGTGAAAGGTGAATGTGCTTCCCAGAGAAGATTTAACAATATAGTAAGTGTGAAAACAGAGACATTCATACATCACAAAGTTTACTTGTTTCTCCATTTTATAAACAATTATCTGCACATAAAGATATGTTTGTAATCTGTTAAAACACTTAATCTGTTGTTTATAATTCTAAGTAACCTGTGTTTTGTTGACAATCCATTGCAGACAATGCCATGTCAGTGTCATAAAATAACAAAAAACAGTATGTTTGAAATAATGTATTTAAACTAACTACACAGCTTAAAAGAAGTTTGAATTACCTTTATTGTAATATGTCCATCGCAGGATAATTTATAATTTCACTTGAATATTTTTAACAAAGCTTACAACATTTCAATAAACATGATTAACTGTAACCTTATACCCTCAATGTCAAGGTCATTGAGTGTTAGTGGTACCACAGAGTTGTGTGTTACCTTATACAGTATTTCACCACTCAGTGTCAAGGTCATTGAGTGTAAGTGGTGCCACAGACTTTTGTTTTACCTTACATAGTTTCTCACAAGTCAATGTCAAGGTCATTGAGTGTTATTGGTATGACAGATTTGTAGGTTACCTTATACAGTATCTCACCAAACAATGTCAAGGTCATTGAGTGTTAGTGGTACCACAGACTTGTGCATTACCTTAATGATTATTTCACCCCTCAATTCTAGGACAAGGTCATTGAGATTGAGTGGTAGCACAGACCTGTGTGTTATGTTATGTAGTATCTCACCAGTCAGTGTCAAGGTCATTGAGTGTTAGTAGTATCACACTTGTGTTACCTTAAAAAGTATCTCACCAGTCAATGTCAAGGTCATCAAATGTCTGTGGTACGACAGACTTGTGTGTTACCTTACACAGTATCTCACAAGTCAATGTCAAGGTCATTGAGTTTAAGTGGTACCACAGACTTGTGTGTTACCTTACACATTATCTCACAAGTCAATGTCAAGGTCATTGAGTGTTAGTAGTACTAAACACTTGTGTGTTACCTTACAAAGTATCTCATAAGTCAATGTCAAGGTCATTGAGTGTAAGTGGTACCACAGACTTGTGTGATACCTTACACAGTATCTCACAAGTCAATGTCAAGGTCATTGAGTGTAAGTGGCACCACAGACTTGTGTGTTACCTTACACAGTATCTCACAAGTCAATGTCAAGGTCATTGAGTGTAAGTGGCACCACAGACTTGTGTGTTACCTTACACAGTATCTCACAAGTCAATGTCAAGGTCATTGAGTGTAAGTGGTACCACAAACTTGTGTGACACCTTATACAGTATTTCACCACTCATTGTCAAGGTCATTGAGTGTTAGTGGTACCACAGACTTGTGTGTTACCTTACACAGTATCTCACAAGTCAATGTCAAGGTCATTAAGTGTAAGTGGTACCACAGAGGTGTGACACCTTATACAGTATTTCACCACTCAATGTCAAGGTCATTGAGTGTTAGTGGCACCACAGACTTGTGTGTTACATTATAAATATCTCACAAGTCAATGTCAAGGTCATTGAGTGTAAGTGGTACCACAGACTTGTGTGTTACATTATAAAGTTTCTCACAAGTCAATGTCAAGGTCATTAAGTGTAAGTGGTACCACAGAGGTGTGACACCTTATACAGTATTTCACCACTCAATGTCAAGGTCATTGAGTGTTAGTGGCACCACAGACTTGTGTGTTACCTTACACAGTATCTCACAAGTCAATGTCAAGGTCATTGAGTGTAAGTGGTACCACAGAGGTGTGACACCTTATACAGTATCTCAAGCTTATATTCTGTAACACGATAATCACTATGTCAAGTTGTTCACATTTTGAGCTATTTTTTTTATTGTTATGAGCCTCGTAGTAGGCATTGATCATAGTATCTGTTGTGTTAAGTTGTTGTCATTATTTATCCATTGAATGACTTTTAGGCATAGAAGAAAATCCTGATTTTACAGAAGGTGGTTCTGAATGGCCTGTTTTATCAAATTTAGAAATAAAATTTTTCTCTTCTCAAATAATGAAATGTGGTTAACAAATGGTTTCGCTTTTTAATCGTCTTTAAAATGAGCTCAACAAATACAATAGTTATTTTACTTCTCAGCACAAAGTTAAATATTAAATGAAAATTTTACAATTTTGAATGTTTTCAAATTTACAAATCATTCCCATTTATTTTATTTTCAATAATTATTATCATTTTGATCATCAAAGGAAATCTTGTCATTAATTTGCATGGAGTGCACTAATTCATTAGAAGAAAGATGTTTTCATAGTTCAGCCTCAGTATTTAAATGTCAGCAAGGTGTTTTATGCAAGTCATTGAAATCTCAGCATTTGAAATTTTTCATAACTTTTCATGCCAACAAGTCACCACGTCGGGATTCTGGGATTGTTTTGTGTCTATACCCAGAAATGTGGGGAGGTCGCATAACAGTATTGTACAGCACACATCAGTATCTTCACCCTACGCAGCCACAACACATTCATTTTTGTTACGATCTCGCAAATAAAATGGCTGAAAAGCTTCTTTTTTGTTGTTTTTTTCCTGTTTGTTTGTCTTAATAACTAAAAGGCAGAAAGTTGGTGATTGCTTGTTTAAATTTACCTACAGTAATGGTGTACAGTGATATTTCACGCGAAATCTTTATATCACAAACAATAGGCTTGTAAGTCTAGGTTAATGTAGTGCCTACTCTTAATGTTTAAGGATATCTTTCTCAAAAAACACAGGCCTTATTCTCACATTGTTTCCTTTAAAATTGGCTTTATACCGTAAACATTAACCAAACTTTAGTATATACTTTCATATTTGGTTTGTCAAAGTGGCAGGCATATGATATTGCAACATCAGGATGAATTCCCTTGGAAAAACCGTCCAATTGATATGTATTCTACTTATAACTTAAAACTGTCTTGACTATCCCAACAGAATGTCCCAGAGAAAGGTAGTAACTAGGATGAAAAATATTCACAAAGGAGCAATAAGAATGCTATATTCATTATCTAAATCACTTAGGACAGGCCATCATAGAGAGATGAGAAGATCTTAGGGGGTACACACAGAGGTCAAAGCATTGAATCTTGAGTGAAGGTTAGAGAAATTTGTCTGATCTGGGCTTAATAACAAAGTGGAACCCCCCCCCCCAAAAAAAAAATGACTGATGGTAAATTATTTCTGGCTGGCAGCCATCTTGAATATCCAATGAAAATCAAAATGTGGTACACACATCTTGGTCCATTACTGAATTTGTCCATTAAGGTTTCCATGAGAAGTTCTTCAGAAACAGTAGTGACATGAAATTATTTACAATAATGACAGACTGTAAACAAAAACTGATCTTGAAAGCCCATTATCCGACAATGGTGGGTTAGTGCCATTTCAGTCCCCCTCTGACACACTACCTCACCAAGGTGAAACCATACCCAAAGTATGATGTTCCACTGACTAGAAGTGGAGGGCCCAACAAATTTTTCTGTTATGTAGGTCAGGGAACACAATGTAAATGTGACCTATTTTTGATACATGACACTGCCTCACTAGGCTGAACCTGTATCTCAAGTGTAAAGCTCCCATGATCAGAAGTGTAGGAGATAGGGCCCAAACAAATTTTTCTGTTATGTAGGTCAGGGAACAAAATGTAAATGCTGTTCAGTGACCTATTTTTGATACATGACACACTGCCTAACTAGGCTGAACCTGTATCTACAGTGAGAATCTCCCATGATAAAATGTGTAGGAGATAGGGCCCAAACAAACTTTTCTGTTATGTAGGTCAGGGAACAAAATGTAAATGCAGTTCAGTGACCTATTTTTGATACATGACACACTGCCTAACTAGGCTGAACCTGTATCTACAGTGAGAATCTCCCATGATAAAATGTGTAGGAGATAGGGCCCAAACAAACTTTTCTGTTATGTAGGTCAGGGAACAAAATGTAAATGCAGTTCAGTGACCTATTTTTGATACATGACACACTGCCTAACTAGGCTGAAGCTGTATCTACAGTGAGAATCTCCCATGATAAGATGTGTAGGAGATAGGGCCCAAACAAATGTAGGCCAGAGTGACGTACTTTTGATACCAAAGTCTCACCTAGGTGAAGTTATATCTCAAGTTTTAGATGTAGTTATGTAGAATAACGGGCCGGGACAAGACGCCAAAAGGACAGATGGACAAACACAACACAAAACTATAGTCCTCTTCAGTCCCTGACAGGGGACTAATAAGGGCTTTTTACTGACTTCTCGCTAGCCTCAGTTTTCTCACTATTTATACAAACAGTACAGGGTCCAGATAGCTTAGACAGTAAGGTACTTAAGATTCAGGTGAAGGTAAGTGGTTTGTAGTGTGATCCCTAGCTGAGGCAGGTTTGTGTTTCTATGGAAGCAGAGATCACAGATCATCCTGTGCTGTTGAGTTTAATTCCTTGAGCAAGACACTCTACTCAATACTCTGGATAACCTGTGCCCGGCCTCCCATATGTTGTTCAGTGAGTTAGCCACCAGTTACTACAAAAATACCCTGGCTGTTCATGGGGTGATAAATACAACAAACAAATAAAATGCAGTGTATATGATATTTACTTCTGAAACACCAACACCATCACAAAAATGGCATCACCTGATTTATCAATAATCCTATAGACTTTGGATTACAATGATCAAACAATAATATTGTATTACAGAAATAAGTTCTTACGATAACAGCCATTGGCCAAGTCTGGACATTGTTTCAGATACCTACAATTACAGTACTACACGGGGAGGTTCAAACATCCACACAATCAAAATAGGATTCTATCATTCACTACAAGTGAACAGACCTGTCCCTATTACTATTATTGTAGCTATCCAGCGATAAGCATTTCAACTAGAGGGATGGGCTTATTTCAGGACACTGATATGAACTGACATTTCTACAAAGCCTGTATGGCCACTGTTACGGGCAAGAACTTCAGGCGCTGAAAGCTAGACAAAATACAGGACAAACTTGTCCAGAAGATTATTTCTGTTGAGAACTAAGTAACATATTCCAAATTATTCTGACATTCAAGTTTTTATATCAATCTGGCATTCATTACCTTGAGAATGTTGAGAGAAGACCAGAATAATTCAGACTATAAGTAGCTATCATTGTACCCTTGATTTGTTCCACTCCCTCTCTCACCAGTATTCCTAGCATTACCTGTACATGACATAAAATTCTTTATGTGATTAGCACCATCTACTTTTGACTAGTGAATATTACATCAACATTACACATAGATAACACTGAGAAATACCTATCTTTCAACCCCTTATATCACTAGGAAAATTCTGTCACTCACTGAAACATAGATATCATTGAGCACCTATAGACATCTCTATGGCAACATCTCACAAGTGTATTTGTCACGAAGATCATCTTTAGACAGAAAACATTTCCTTACTCTGATTCATTTTTTGGAACTAGTAGAAATCCCTACGTTTTGTAATCTTGATAAATATTTGTATTGTTTATATATGAAAAAAAACCTACTATTTGCTGGGCAAGGGGTCTCCCTAATATCCAGTATTTGACCATGTCTGGAAAGTCAGTCAAAGCACTGTAAATTGGAAACACCATCATATAACTGTAAGGACTACCAGGGTATAGTAGTATAGTAATATCTCTTTTAGGCCACGTGAAAGACTGAGACGAGTCATCGAACTATTAATGACAAATGAAGGGAGACAACTTGACCCATGATATATTGATATATCGGACACCAAGACTTCCCAAATATTCTCTATCATTTTCCTAACCATGGGTCTGAACTGCAAAAAAAAAAAGATCTGGAATGCTTGGTACCAAATGTGTCAAACATTCAGTGTCCTCCTGATCATTAAAATTTGTCAGTACCGGTAATTATTAAAATTCTGTAGGCAGAGTAGCAGTGATATAATACTTATCTCCCTTGCCCCACCTTTTTTGTACTACATCGACATCACTTACTGAGGTATAAACCCCAATATCACAACAGCATTACAATCATGATCAACAACAATCTATATATCTATAAATAACCTTGTATTTACACTTCCTGTTTACTTGTTTATCATACATCAAGTCTCCTTAATTAATTCTGGAAAACCATAAAGATTTACCTTTTCTATTACAGAAATCTCTGACAATAACTGAGTATATTATAGCTGATAAATAATACTGCAAGTAAGGGATATTCCAAATAAAGGAGAGGGAGAATAATTCTATCAGGTCAATTACAGCATCATTGCTTATGTTTTTATCTCCAGCTTTATAACAGGCCTAAATCATCAACAACTTTTACAGTAAGAGACATTGAGCCTAAAAGCACCAGTAATACCTGTTACAATTTCTTCATCAAATATCACAGCACAACAACAATCATGATCCAATCATTCGTCCTTAATTCACAGACCTTAAACACATTACAATAAACATCTGGATATATGTTTCAATACCTCACATGTACCACAAAATTCATCAACAGAGTTGTCTCTCATGAGACAAACAGACATGAATCTCAATTTTAAAAGTTAGGTATTTTTGATTCAAACTGTCAAAATGCTAACTGATTTGAAATAACTATGTTATGTTAAAAATGTTATTAAACTATATGTATTATAAGTACAGTTTGTAAATGTTGTATTAGTATAGAAATGTCACGTTCTCTCTGGGAAAATTGACTGCCTGTTCCTTGTGTATGTTCCATGGTTTTGGTCTCTCTGGGAGGATTATGTGTCTATCCCTTGTTGTGTATGTTCCATGGTTCTCTCTGAGTTGATTATGTGTCTATTCCTTGTTGTGTATGTTCCATGACTTTGGTCTCTCTGAGTGGATTATGTGTCTATTCCATGTTGTGTATGTTCCATGGTTTTGGTCTCTCTGAGTGGATTATGTGTCTATTCCTTGTTGTGTATGTTCCATGGTTCTCTCTGGGAGGATTATGTGTCTATTCCTTGTTGTGTATGTTCCATGGTTCTCTCTGGGAGGATTATGTGTCTATTCCATGTTGTGTATGTTCCATGACTTTGGTCTCTCTGAGTGGATTATGTGTCTATTCCTTGTTGTGTATGTTCCATGGGTCTCTCTGGGAGGATTACCAGTATGTGTCTATTCCTTGTTGTGTATGTTCCATGGTTTTGGTCTCTCTGGGAGGATTATGTGTCTATTCCTTGTTGTGTATGTTCCATGGTTCTCTCTGAGTGGATTATGTGTCTATTCCTTGTTGTGTATGTTCCATGGTTTTGGTCTCTCTGAGTGGATTATGTGTCTATTCCATGTTGTGTATGTTCCATGGTTTTGGTCTCTCTGAGAGGATTATGTGTCTATCCCTTGTTGTGTATGTTCCATGGTTTTGGTCTCTCTGAGTGGATTGTGTCTATTCCTTGTTGTGTATGTTCCATGGTTTTGGTCTCTCTGGTTGGATTGTGTCTATCCCTTGTTGTGTATGTTCCATGGTTTTGGTCTCTCTGAGTGGATTATGTGTCTATTCCTTGTTGTGTATGTTCCATGGTTTTGGTCTCTCTGAGAGGATTATGTGTCTATCCCTTGTTGTGTATGTTCCATGGTTTTGGTCTCTCTGAGTGGATTATGTCTATTCCATGTTGTGTATGTTCCATTGTTTGGGTCTCTCTGAGAGGATTATGTGTCTATCCCTTGTTGTGTATGTTCCATGGTTTTGGTCTCTCTGAGTGGATTATGTCTATTCCATGTTGTGTATGTTCCATTGTTTGGGTCTCTCTGAGAGGATTATGTGTCTATTCCTTGTTGTGTATGTTGATATTCCAGCCAAACACCTGTCTGTCAAACCCACAGGTGAACAGGTTACAAATTGGATGATCATCAGCCCATGCCACTGCTGTCACCATTTTTGTATGACCCTGAAACATAAAAAAGAACCTCTATACAGCACTTTTCTTTCTTCTTAGTTAACCTTTGAATTTTGCATTTAGTGTCACCATTGTTATATTAAGCCACTCCACAATTCTGAGTCATTAATAAACCAAAAGCTGGTTAATATTTTAACGTTAATGATAAAAGTAACATTTACCTGTCTGTTACTGCGTGGCAATCGTCCTATCCTGTTACCATGGATATCATACAGACGGATGTGTCTGTTGTCATGTGGAATAGCTATCATGTTATGTGTCTGGGATACCGATAATCTGAAAATACAATGAAATTCGCTGGACAAAACTTAAATGTAAAAACATGCTATCATATTTCTCTATAAATGAAACATGATTTTTTTTCTGTGCTCACAAATATAATGTGATATGAGAAATGAGTAAAGGATAGAGCCAACGCCGCTGTTGTATTTAATAGAGGTCTGCAGGTTATTCGCCTCCCGCCTGGATACCCTAGGGTATGCAGGGGATTGATGAGAAGGGGTGAGCTTAAATAGGTAAGAATCAATCCAACAGACTGGAGGCAGGTTCTTCAAAGATTTATTATAGGTAATCAGTCTACCGGTTTCGCCCTTCTAATTGGGCTTCATCAGGACAACATTACCTTGAGAAATATCCCTAAAGTATACTTAGGGCGGGCAAATTTACATTGTTACTTATGACGTGATTAATTACGATCGATAACTCTATAAATTATTATGAACATATAATGTCTGTCAGTATCCTTCACGGTTATATCTGTACAATTATAAACAATAAAGTTAGTATGAGCAATTAACTCAGTTCATTGATTCTCATCTAAGCACAGCGTTGACATGGATTCTGACTGGTACTTCAATTCCCAGTAATTCACGCGCTTCTCATCTTCCACTTCGGATGAATTGGGGGTCGAGGCCGTGCTATCTGAATCGCTTAAAGCCAAGTCCTGCTTCAATAAATCAATGGCTTCCTCCAATACTGGTCTCATCGGGGGGGCCGCTGATGTTGATTTTGGTTGCTGGCCGTATTCTAAATTTAGCGTTCTCCAGTTGTTTTTTGGTGAGTACTTCGAACGGTCTTTTGCTGTCTGGTTTGACCGCTTCCTGTCTAACTTTATCCTCGTAAACCTCAGGTTCGACGCCGTAACCTGGATGGAAATTCTTCATATGTCTCTTGTAATCACCATCTCTGCCAAATGTTTTTTTGCATATTTTACATTTGTACCAGGTTTTGATGGCCACGTGGGCCACATTAACATGTCTTCTTAAATTCCTTATGGAGGCATAAGATTTACCACATAGAATACACGGTATTCTTATGGATCTGGTGGGTTTGGTTTTGGTTACCTGCTTCTGTGGAATTTTTTTGAGGTTCGGCATTATGATATCAAGTTTAGGCCTTCCGGCTGTCGTGTACGTAAGATCCTAATCCAGCTTTCTTCAGTCCGTAGACGGCAGTTGATGTTGTTGACGTCAGTCACTATGCCGGTAACTATAACGTCATCGGCATTGTGACCTGGCGACGTAAAATGCCGCGCTACGGGTTTCTCTTGATTCCCGTGTATAATATCATATAAATGGTTTCGGATCCTGGTATTAATAGTAGTAGAAGTCTGACCTACGTATTGGATCCCACATATCTTACAGGTAATCAAGTATACGGCGTTTACACTTTTGCAAGTTATATGGTTTCTAATCTTGTAACTTTCCCCTGTAGATTTACTGGTAAATACTACGTTCGCTACCATGAATTTACAAATCCTACATTGTTGTCCGCTCCCGTGTTGGACCGTGATATGAGAAAGTTGTTTCTGATTAAACATGACCAAATTTTTGAGATTGAAAGAGTCCAAATTCACCAGGTAGACAAAATTGAGTAAGAGACCTCCAGAAAATTCAATATTATGACAAATACAAGGGACAGTAACTCTTCCAAATATTGTAAATAAAACTACTATTCCTGAAAACAAAACTTCAAGTTTTAGTGATTAAGCTTGCTAACTTTGAAACAGATGGGTTGAAAAATGTGGGAGAAAATCTCAAGACAAACACAAGTTTAAAACTCAACTTTTTATCATTATATATCATTATACCTCCTGTGAGATGTAGATTATGAACTGAAATTACCTGGTTTCTCTTCGTCAAACTTACCTGTTGACTGAAGAGTCAGATCGGATGGCTGAAATTGGGGACCGCATATTTTTTATATCCCAGACCTTGATAGTACGGTCATCACTTCCAGACACAACCTTGTCACTTCCTGCAAACACTGCACTGGTAACTGGTCTACAAACAGATCATACGCAATTAAATATCTTATTTAACTACATTAAAAATTGAAAATTATCCCATTATTTTACCCAATTAAATCCTTTTTTGTATCTTAAAACCAGACAAGACTATCTCAGGACCAGTTCGATTTATAACTCTTTAGAGTTAATGTGACAGCCTTGTGACTTACTGTGTATGCCCTTGGAAAACATTGACCAGCATGTTGGGGTCACGGAAGTCCCACAGCCTAAAGGTTGTGTCTTTAGAGGAAGTGACCACCATCCTCTGTGTAGGGTGAGCCCGTACTTCTGTCAGTTCTTGGTCATGTCCTGTTGACATCACAAAATAATGTATGTCAATAACACAAAGTCACATAAGTATGGGACTAACAGGTTACATGGGATACAACATGACAATCAAGGGTGATAGAGAACAATGTGGTAGAATAAGCTTAGTCGATCATTGTAACAAACACCTCACACAGTTAGATTAGTCGATCATTGTAATAAACACCTCACACAGTTAGATTAGTCGATCATTGTAATAAACACCTCACACAGTTAGATTAGTCGATCATTGTAATAAACACCTCACACAGTTAGCTTAGTCGACCATTGTAATAAACACCTCACACAGTTAGCTTAGTCGATCATTGTAATAAACACCTCACACAGTTAGCTTAGTCGACCATTGTAATAAACACCTCACACAGTTAGCTTAGTCGACCATTGTAATAAACACCTCACACAGTTAGCTTAGTCGACCATTGTAATAAACACCTCACACAGTTGTAATAGTCATGTTTCAAGCAGCCATATTCAGGACAAATGAGTCTAGTGACATAATTATTTAAATGAATGTCTTTTAAAAATTAACCTGTGTGTATGATAACAGATCACAATATTTTTACCCATTAATGACTAAAATGATTTGTTTAGGTAGATAGTTTTACAAAGGAATACTTATCACAGATAACTGCTGAGGATTAATACACGAGAAACTATTGACTTCTGAGTCATTCACACAGCATCATTGATCCTCTGACTTCTAACATAGACTTAATAACACACCAGAAACTATTGACCTTTGAGACAGTCACACAGTATCCTCCGATTTCAATATACCTGTCAGAGTATTAATCTGCTCTCCAGATTCAGCATCATACAAGATAGCCGTCCTATCCCATGATGCTGTGATCACCTGGCCTCCAGCAGCCATCCAATCAGCTGATACGACCACACCGTTGTGCCCTGTCAGTTCCAGGGAGGGAGTTCTGAGTGAGCTCTCCTCGGGTGTAGACTCAAGGAAGTCTGTAAAAGTTGATCAACTGATGATTAGTCAGTATTTCTAACAACACTTGTCTCATATCAGCACTTACTGCCACATAAATATTACACAAAGGCTCTAGAGAGTTGCATGTACCTGATAATAGTATTGTACTACAAATATAAGGCTTGGGCCTTGATAGCAGTAGCAAATATAAATTTCTGTATTACTGCTAGGAAAGCCTATGGGAATAACAGCAAAGTTAGAAACTGATATAAAAATCATTCAGTATTATGTAGATCTCTAGCAAATCTATTAAAAAGTTTCTTCCATTCAGATCTTATCCATCATTAGGCAGTCATGAGACCCAAATGGATACCCTGTCCCCTTCAGAGGATTCTCTATGGCCTAGGGAGGATTTTCTATGGCCTAGGGAGGATTCTCCATGGCACAAGGGAGGCTTTTATATGACCTAGGGAAGATTTTCTATGCCTAAAGAGGATTCTTTATGGCCTAGGGAGGATTTTTTTGTGGTCTAGGGAGGATTCCTTTGGCCTACAGAGGATTCGTTATGGCCTACAGAGGATTTCCTATGGCCTAGGGAGGCTTTTATATAACCTAGGGAGGACTTTCTGTGGCCTAGGGAGGATTCTTAAAGGTCAAGGGAGGATTCCCCATTTAGGCCATGTTTAAATGCCAGATGTTACTTACCATCTACTGAATCTTCCTTTTCTGATCCATCGAGTTCATCTTCACCTGATGAATGGGATCGCTGTAAGATATATCAGCCAGAAATTAGATAATATTTGTGTTTGTTATAACTGCCTTATATATAACTGATGTTGAGGGAACCTAATATTCACCTCTTTTGCAGGAATATGGACACAAGCCCCAAATATTTATCTTTATGGAAGGAATGTTGACTGGAGTCCCAACATTTACCTTTTCAGAAGGAATGTTGACTTTGAGTTCCAATATTTACCTCTACGGAAGGAATGTTGACTTGAGTCCCAATATTTACCTCTACAGAAGGAATGTTGACTAGAGTTCCAATATTTACCTCTACAGAAGGAATGTTGACTTGTGTCCCAATATTTACCTCTACAGAAGGAATGTTGACTTGAGTCCCAATATTTACCTCTACAGAAGGAATGTTGACATTAGTCTTAATATTTACCTCTATAGAGGGGATGTTGACATTAGTCTTAATATTTACCTCTATAGAGGGGATGTTGACTTGAGTCCCAATATTTACCTCTACAGAAGGAATGTTGACATTAGTCTTAATATTTACCTCTATAGAGGGGATGTTGACTTGAGTCCCAATATTTACCTCTACAGAAGGAATGTTGACATTAGTCTTAATATTTACCTCTATAGAGGGGATGTTGACTTGAGTCCCAATATTTACCTCTACAGAAGGAATGTTGACATTAGTCTTAATATTTACCTCTATAGAGGGGATGTTGACGTGAGCTCCCCAGATGTGGGCGGTTTGGTCTCCAGAGGCAGTCAGTACCAGCTCCTGGGCAGGGTGGAATCGGATGGAGTTGACAGAACCCTGATGTCCTTGGTACTGCAGCAGACATGTCCCTGAGTGTATACACCATACACGGGCTGTGTGATCTGTACAGATGAGGACAGACTGTGTAATATACATACTTTGGCTAAGATCCTGTAACATCCTAACCTCGGTTAAAGCCTCCGTTGGGATAACCTTACAGGATCTTAGCCCTTGACTGAGATACCCTGTTCTTGCTCAGTTACAGGTAACTGATTTTATTAATCTAGCAGCAGTTTTCAGCTTTAAGTTCTTCAAGGACAGAACGGTGGTATGGAGCAGATATGCTTTTTCATCATTCAGCTTACAATGATGCTATGTAAAATGCATCATATATCTTGTTTGTTATTGCAGAAAAGATGATGATCATCATAAAAAGATCAGTGGTAAACAACAAAAGCATACATTTAATATTTAAATATACACAGAGAAATACCCAGTTATCTGATGGTACACACCAAGATACTGAGTAATCTGACAATACATCACAGTGTTAAACTTGCCTGCAGAAGCTGTGCCAATAAGCTGTTGATCTGATCGGGCAACAGTGACTTCCCAAACCCCATCTCGATGTCCTCGGTAGTTGCGGGCAACAGCGTAGATAGGGGAAGGATTACGGAAACTTGATACAATCTTGCTAGTTGATACTTTATACGTGGATTTGATTTTCTGAGAGATCTGACTGGCTGCTGAAACATCACCATGTCAACATTCAGTTTAAATACTTTACAGGTGGGGGCTTTATATCGGTTCAAATTTTTGCAGTGTAACAAAAACTTTTTAAAAAATCAGCTATATTTTTTCAGAAAAATCATAAAAGGACTGTGGTTTTCTATATTTCATTTCTGGGGTAATTTATTTATTGCAATTTTATTCAATCTTCAAAAATAGCAATTAATTGTACTCCTTGGAAATGATAGACCTTAAAGATACTGCAAATGATCCTTTCTGTTAAAAATAATTTTCAGTTTTTAATACCAGGCAATCCTCTACTACAAATCACTCTAGAATTGAACTAGTTGTTATTACAACTACTCTGGAAAATGGAATTTTACTTCCATACAACTGTTCAACACAAAAATTTGGCATACCTTTGAATAAACTGATCATAGAATTTGAGTCACTCGAGACTTAATGAATCAATATAGAACAAAACAAATGTGATATTTAGATTTTTTATCACCAAGCCATGATGTTGGTTCTATGACATCTATAGGGTTTATTAACACAGGACCTGTAATTATGTTTCTCTGCCTTCTCACCTGTAAAAATACTTACATCTCTTAGGTTTATTGACCTCAAGGTGGTCAGTGGTGTCCTGGTTTTCTGACGCTGGCTTGTCACCGCCAGAACAGACCTCAAGTCGCTCAGTCAGCCCCTCTACACGGTCCTGCACTGTAACACCCACATTTAAGGTCAAAGTCATGTAACATCATGGCTTCAGATAAATTTCAAGGTCAATATTCTTGGACAAGGTCAGATATAGGATTACAACACAAACATTCAGGATAACTAAATGTAAAGATACAAGATTACTATTCATAGATACAGTGTCTCTACACATAGATACAGGGTCAATACACATAGATACAGTGTCTCTACACATAGATACAGGGTCAATACACATAGATACAGTGTCTCTACACATAGATACAGGGTCAATACACATAGATACAGTGTCTCTACACATAGATACAGGGTCAATACACATAGATACAGTGTCTCTACACATAGATACAGGGTCACTACACATAGATACAGTGTCTCTACACATAGATACAGGGTCAATACACATAGATACAGTGTCTCTACACATAGATACAGGGTCAATACACATAGATACAGTGTCTCTACACATAGATACAGGGTCTCTACACATAGATACAGGGTCACTACACATAGATACAAGGTCACTACACATAGATACAGGGTCACTACACATAGATACAAGGTCACTACACATAGATACAGGGTCTCTACACATAGAAACATGGTTACAACACATAGATACATGGTCACTACACATAGATACAGGGTCTCTACACATAGATACAGTGTTACAACACATAGATACATGGTCACTACACATAGATACATGGTCACTACACATAGATACATGGTCACTACACACAGATACAGGGTTCCAACACATAGATACAGGGTTACTACACATATATACAGGGTCACTACACATAGATACAGGGTCACTACAAATAGATACAGGGTCACTACACATAGATACAAGGTCACTACACATAGATGCAGGGTCTCTACACATAGAAACAGGGTTACAACACATAGATACATGGTCACTACACATAGATACATGGTCACTATACATAGATACAGGGTCTCTACACATAGATACAGTGTTACAACACATAGATACATGGTCACTACACATAGATACATGGTCACTACACATAGATACATGGTCACTACACAAAGATACAGGGTTCCAACACATAGATACAGGGTTGCTACACATATATACAGGGTCACTACACATAGATACGAGGTCACTACACACAGATACAAGGACATCATATTTTGAAGTCTGGAAAAGTCCACAGATAGTTCACATTTATTAAATATTTATTTATCCTATTTCTCACCAAATTCTTCTGGTAATTTAGCTGCCAAAATGCAGTGGTAGTGTTGGTTTGATTAATATCTACATACACCTGAAGACAACGTTGGGAGATATTTCCCACCAGTAAGTTATGATGTATCATAAAGATTAAATACCAGAGGCCAATTCTACTGATACTTACAGGCTAAATTTTCTGCATACAAATTTTCGAACTCTTTTTCAATTTCTCTGAAGAGATCATTCAGTCTTCCCCTGTAAAATACAGATGTTCCATTTTATGAAGAAAACAGTTACAACTGTATAGATGTTTTATTTCACATTTTCATGTTTATCTAGCTCACAAACATACTGGCATATGACATCAGATTTAGATTTATTGTGAAGAGTTTACTTGGTATTTTGCCCTTTCTTTAATGACTGTGACCACAGTGTTACTAACTAGGCAGTATCAATTATGTAGGTACAGGAAGAATTACAGGATTATCCTGCAGTTCTATCTGTAAGCATTCACACTTCATACAGAAGACAAATGCAGGAGGTGAACGCCCTATGCAAGACAACATAAATATATAATACCATCCTGTCTGAGGTGATATTGAACAGGGAAGCAGCTTTCCTGGTAAGGAAGTGGGATGGAATCTTGGTCCCAGCACTAAAAAAAGTATATACTTAGGTATTCTGTTATATACAGCTGAACAGCTTACGTGTAGCTTGGAAACCCAAGCCTACATTTCATTTAGACATTTCTTTTCAAATACATTCCTTTTTTTCAAATGAGACAACGATACCATACATATGTTATATATAGGTCAATAAAAACAAATTCATAGCACACATCCAAATAACTAAGAAAGCAGCTCAGATGTGTCATTGAATTGAAAGTTATCCTATTTCAGAGGCAAGAAGCCAATCATACATGAACACATTGAGACATCAGCTGGTGTAACATTGGACTTTGAGGATAATTCTTTCTTTAAATGGACTAAAAGTGCCTATGCTTGTAGACTGGGGAAATGTTTCTGAATTGATGAAGTTGTGATGGTTACTTCTGTACTAATCCCTTTCCAGCCAAACAAATTCATGCCACTTGCCTGAATGCAAATTTTCATCATAACTTGCTTGCTGATGAAGTCATTCAACTGATGATAGTAATTTCTTTCTAAAAATAGTAATTATGGCCTTTTATCTTTGAGCGAAGGACCATGAAAGTGAACTCATTTCAGGTGTACAGTGTAAATGGCCAACAGTTATAAGGAATACCTACTGCGCAGCTGATGCCAGTGTAAAATCACCATTAAAAATTCACTAACCTGACAACTCTATCATAACTGCCTGGTTACAGCAGTGAAACCAATTCATCTTCTATTTTCATTTGAACCTATCTGTACAGGTTTGTATGCTTGGGAGGTATAACATTCTAGATCTAAGCAATCAATACTTAAGTCACTGTAAATCTCCCTTCGTAGATTAGTGTACAGCAAGTTGTACACAGCCTTATTGTGATAGCTGAACTGAGACACACTGCATAAAAATGCCTACATCACATATCTACAAGACAAAAATTTGTCTTTTAAATTTTCTACACTGTAAAAAATACTGTTAAATTTTTGTGGTTTTACCAAAATTTTAAATTTTAAATTAAAAAAAAGTATTTATTTTCCACAAAATTCATAACCCAGACTGGCAAATTTATTTCCAAATTTCGAAGTACCAATTTTTTAAAACTTTATTTATCCTCAAAAATCATCTAAAAAAGGAAATCCTCAAAAACTTGATCATACATCCTCCCTAAAAACCACAAAGTCTTCAGGTTGTTACTGAGATGTAAACAGCCTTATTACATATCTTAGAGGTCTTCATAAGCTTTAACTTCATTTAACTCAGGTGACAGCAGAATGAACCAAGGTCATTGATTTGAACAAACTCGGTAGTCTTCAATCCAAATAAGTTCAATCAAAATATGATGAATTTGGCTTAAGATTTCTTGATGAGAAGTTGTTTGAAAATTTAATCATATATTCATCAGGCTTTGTGACCTTGAAAGTGGATCACTCATATATTAAAACACACAAGCATCTGAATACAAAATTAGTAAAATATGATTCCTCAAAATGATTCCTCAAGATTGTAGATGTTCCTTTGAACTCTTGGCATGTTTTATGTGAAAAGTAAGTTAAGATAAATTATAAGAATGAACTTGAAACTTCAACTTTAAAAGTGGACAATGGTGATTAACTGGAACATACTGTAAACATCTAAGTTAAAAATCTACTCTTCCAAAAGCATATACATCAAGAATAACTAAAATCGTTTATAAGATATCTGAAGTGTGTGACGTTTAAAGTCCTTTAGATAATTATTTTATAAACATTTCTTTTAGCTGTTCTTTTCGTCATGCTTAAGGCCAAATGTAATTTTTTTTTATTCTTCATCAGAAAAAGTTGTTCATATGTTTAATACATTTAACCTTGATGACCTTAAATGCAGGCTAGCCATTTTTTTTGGACAATCTTCATTACTTTATTCATCAGAGCTACCTTTATTGTAAATTAATGCTATATCTCCAGGTCTAAAACAATATACATATATTGTAAATTGATGCTATATCTCCAGGTCTAAAACAATATACATTTATTGTAAATTGATGCTATATCTCCTGGTCTAAAACAATATACATTTATTGTAAATTGATGCTATATCTCCAGGTCTAAAACAATATACATTCATTGTAAATTGATGCTATATCTCCAGGTCTAAAACAATATACATTTATTGTAAATTGATGCTATATCTCCAGGTCTAAAACAATATACATTTATTGTAAATTGACACTGTATCTCCAGGTCTAAAACAATATACATTTATTGTAAAATTGATGCTATATCTGCAGGTCTAAAACAATATACATTTATTGTAAATTGATGCTATATCTGCAGGTCTAAAACAATATACATTTATTGTAAATTGATGCTATATCTCCAGGTCTAAAACAATATACATTTATTGTAAATTGATGCTATATCTCTAGGTCTAAAACAATATACATTTATTGTAAATTGATGCTATATCTCCAGGTCTAAAACAATCTACATTTATTGTAAATTGATGCTATATCTCCAGGTCTAAAACAATACACATTTATTGTAAATTGATGCTATATCTCCAGGTCTAAAACAATACACATTTATTATATCTCCTGGTCTAAAACAATATACATTTATTGTAAATTGATGCTATATCTCCAGGTCTAAAACAATATACATTTATTGTAAATTGATGCTATATCTCCAGGTCTAAAACAATATACATTTATTGTAAATTGATGCTATATCTCCAGGTCTAAAACAATATACATTTATTGTAAATTGATGCTATATCTCCTGGTCTAAAACAATATACATTTATTGTAAATTGATGCTATATCTCCTGGTCTAAAACAATATACATTTATTGTAAATTGATGCTATATCTCCAGGTCTAAAACAATATACATTTATTGTAAATTGATGCTATATCTCCAGGTCTAAAACAATATACATTTATTGTAAATTGATGCTATATCTCCAGGTCTAAAACAATATACATTTATTGTAAATTGATGCTATATCTCCAGGTCTAAAACAATCTACATTTATTGTAAATTGATGCTATATCTCCAGGTCTAAAACAATATACATTTATTGTAAATTGATGCTATATCTCCAGGTCTAAAACAATATATATTTATTGTAAATTGATGCTATATCTAGGTCTAAAACAATATACATTTATTGTAAATTGATGCTTTATCTCCAGGTCTAAAACAATATACATTTATTGTAAATTGATGCTATATCTCCAGGTCTAAAACAATATACATTTATTGTAAATTGATGCTATATCTCCTGGTCTAAAACAATATACATTTATTGTAAATTGATGCTATATCTCCAGGTCTAAAACAATATACATTTATTGTAAATTGATGCTATATCTCCAGGTCTAAAACAATATACATTTATTGTAAATTGATGCTATATCTCCAGGTCTAAAACAATATACATTTATTGTAAATTGATGCTATACCTCCAGGTCTAAAACAATACACATTTATTGTAAATTGATACTGTATCTCCTGGTCTAAAACAATATACATTTATTGTAAATTGATGCTATATCTCCAGGTCTAAAACAATATACATTTATTGTAAATTGATGCTATATCTCCAGGTCTAAAACAATATACATTTATTGTAAATTGATGCTATATCTCCAGGTCTAAAACAATACACATTTATTGTAAATTGATGCTATATCTACTGGTCTAAAACAATATATATTTATTGTAAATTGATGCTATATCTCCAGGTCTAATAACATTTATATTGACACTGTATCTCCAGGTATAAAACAATATACATTTATTTTAAATTGATGCTATCTCCAGGTCTAAAACAATATACATTTATTGTAAATTGATAGGTCTAAAACAATATACATTTATTGTAAATTGATGCTATATCTCCAGGTCTAAAACAATACACATTTATTGTAAATTGATACTGTATCTCCTGGTCTAAAACAATATACATTTATTGTAAATTGATGCTATATCTCCAGGTCTAAAACAATATACATTTATTGTAAATTGATACTATATCTCCTGGTCTAAAACAATATACATTTATTGTAAATTGATGCTATATCTCCAGGTCTAAAACAATATACATTTATTGTAAATTGATGCTATATCTCCAGGTCTAAAACAATATACATTTATTGTAAATTGATGCTATATCTCCTGGTCTAAAACAATATACATTTATTGTAAATTGATGCTATATCTCCAGGTCTAAAACAATATACATTTATTGTAAATTGATGCTATATCTCCAGGTCTAAAACAATATACATTTATTGTAAATTGATGCTATATCTCCAGGTCTAAAACAATATACATTTATTGTAAATTGATGCTATATCTCCAGGTCTAAAACAATACACATTTATTGTAAATTGATACTGTATCTCCTGGTCTAAAACAATATACATTTATTGTAAATTGATGCTATATCTCCAGGTCTAAAACAATATACATTTATTGTAAATTGATGCTATATCTCCTGGTCTAAAACAATATACATTTATTGTAAATTGATGCTATATCTCCAGGTCTAAAACAATATACATTTATTGTAAATTGATGCTATATCTACTGGTCTAAAACAATATATATTTATTGTAAATTGATGCTATATCTCCAGGTCTAAAACAATATACATTTATTGTACATTGATGCTATATCTCCTGGTCTAAAACAATATACATTTATTGTAAATTGATGCTATATCTCCAGGTCTAAAACAATACACATTTATTGTAAATTGATGCTATATCTACTGGTCTAAAACAATATATATTTATTGTAAATTGATGCTATATCTCCAGGTCTAAAAAAATATACATTTATTGTAAATTGACACTGTATCTCCAGGTCTAAAACAATATACATTTATTGTAAATTGATGCTATCTCCAGGTCTAAAACAATATACATTTATTGTAAATTGATGCTATATCTCCAGGTCTAAAACAATATACATTTATTGTAAATTGATGCTATACCTCCAGGTCTAAAACAATACACATTTATTGTAAATTGATACTGTATCTCCTGGTCTAAAACAATATACATTTATTGTAAATTGATGCTATATCTCCAGGTCTAAAACAATATACATTTATTGTAAATTGATACTGCATCTCCTGGTCTAAAACAATATACATTTATTGTAAATTGATGCTATATCTCCAGGTCTAAAACAATCTACATTTATTGTAAATTGATGCTATATCTCCTGGTCTAAAACAATATACATTTATTGTAAATTGATGCTATATCTCCTGGTCTAAAACAATATACATTTATTGTAAATTGATGCTATATCTCCAGGTCTAAAACAATAAACAATAAGTGTAAAATGATGCAATATCTCCAGGTCTAAAACAATATACATTTATTGTAATTGATGCTATATCTCCAGGTCTAAAACAATATACATTTATTGTAAATTGATGCTATACCTCCAGGTCTAAAACAATACACATTTATTGTAAATTGATACTGTATCTCCTGGTCTAAAACAATATACATTTATTGTAAATTGATGCTATATCTCCAGGTCTAAAACAATATACATTTATTGTACATTGATGCTATATCTCCTGGTCTAAAACAATATACATTTATTGTAAATTGATGCTATATCTCCAGGTCTAAAACAATATACATTTATTGTAAATTGATGCTATATCTACTTGTCTAAAACAATATATATTTATTGTAAATTGATGCTATATCTCCAGGTCTAAAAAAATATACATTTATTGTAAATTGACACTGTATCTCCAGGTCTAAAACAATATACATTTATTGTAAATTGATGCTATATCTCCAGGTCTAAAACAATATACATTTATTGTAAATTGATGCTATACCTCCAGGTCTAAAACAATACACATTATTGTAAATTGATACTGTATCTCCTGGTCTAAAACAATATACATTTATTGTAAATTGATGCTATATCTCCAGGTCTAAAACAATATACATTTATTGTAAATTGATGCTATATCTCCAGGTCTAAAACAATATACATTTATTGTAAATTGATACTGCATCTCCTGGTCTAAAACAATATACATTTATTGTAAATTGATGCTATATCTCCAGGTCTAAAACAATATACATTTATTGTAAATTGATGCTATATCTCCTGGTCTAAAACAATATACATTTATTGTAAATTGATGCTATATCTCCTGGTCTAAAACAATATACATTTATTGTAAATTGATGCTATATCTCCAGGTCTAAAACAATATACATTTATTGTAAATTGATGCTATATCTCCAGGTCTAAAACAATATACATTTATTGTTGATGCTATATCTCCAGGTCTAAAACAATATACATTTATTGTAAATTGATGCTATATCTCCAGGTCTAAAACAATATACATTTATTGTAAATTGACACTGTATCTCCAGGTCTAAAACAATATACATTTATTGTAAATTGATGCTATATCTCCTGGTCTAAAACAATATATATTTATTGTAAATTGATGCTATATCTCCAGGTCTAAAACAATATACATTTATTGTAAATTGACACTGTATCTCCAGGTCTAAAACAATATACATTTATTGTAAATTGATGCTATATCTCCTGGTCTAAAACAATATACATTTATTGTAAATTGATCATTCATCATGATAAAGTTCATTCATCTGAACAAACTTAATACCTGTTTCCACGTAACATGCTACATGCAAACTATTACAATACAAGGTGTCTTCCATATGGTTGTAGAATGATTTTGTAAGTGGGTCAAGGCCATTTCCTTCAATCAGCTTTATATCACTTGAACCCAACATGATGAGACCATTGCAATGACCTTAGCTGTAAGGTAAGCTTTTGTTCAGCCTTTTAACTCTTCACATTTTGTAATACATTATAAGAAATTAGTAAACATACTTGACACCAGGGGGCAGTAGTCCATCAATGTCAGAGTCGTATCTACTCATGATGGCCTGAGAGTTGCCATCCTCCTGTCGTGTTCCAGCTCCCCGTGCACTAGCTTTCACTTTCATTGACTTGCTAACACTGTCAGTCGGCATGCTCAGACTTGATTGGCCGTCTTGAGATGTGATCTCAAGCGTGATTGGCCCACCATCAGCACGTCATCAACACCAGAAGATAGCAGCAAACTCTCACCTTTTGACAGCAACTGTAATTTTCAACAGTTTAAAAATTCATGATCTTTCAGCGACAGGAATATAGTATCAGACCAGCAACGGCTTGGTATAGACAAACTAGAGTGAGATGGGCCTCTAGAGAAAAGCAGGGCAGTTTCAGGGAAACGTCATTATGGTCACAACATCTTCACACACCATCCAACCTATACACATATGATACACTGCCATCTCCTGACAAAAGCATCTCTCTATCATACTACATAGTATAGACAATGTTACTGGGGCTGATCTAAGGCATGTGGCCCCTTGATATACTATTCTAGGGTCCTGGTGTGGTGCTCTTAAATTTGCCCTTGATCACTGCTTTATGGCATGTTATCTTAAGTCCTTACAAATGGCTTCTTATCTTGTCCTAGGGTCTAGTTAATAACTACTCCTTGTCTTATCAAGAATCCTTAGGTGTGACCCCTTATCTAGTTCTGGCTTGTGGTCCCTTACCTAGCTCTAGAGTCCTGGCTTGCAGCCCCTTATCTAGCTCTAGAGTCCAGGCTTGCAGTCCCTTATCTAGCTAAAGAGTCCTAGCTTGCAGTCCCTTATCTAGCTCTAGGGCCCTAGATAGTTTTCCCTTATCTAGCTCTAAGGTCCTGGTATATTTAACTTGTGACCCATGATCTTGTACTAGGGTCCTGTGCGTAACCTTATTTTGAGTTCTTATCCTAAGCTTCTGATATGGGACTCCTTCCTTTACCCTAAAGTCCTATGGTGTGCCACCATCTTCTTCTATGGTGCTGGGTTTGTGACCCATATCTTAAGTTGTCCTAGGGTATTGGCGTATGGCCCCTTATCTAAAGCTAGGTTCATTGCGTTGGCCCTTATTTACCTTTCTAGTTTAAGACTCCTTATGTTAACCTAGGGTACTGGTGTATGGCCTGTACCTTTACCTACTAGAGCCCACATGTGTGACCCCTTTTTATCCCTAGACTAATGGTGTGTGACCCCTTGTCTTGTCCTAGGGTTCTGGTATGTGGTTGGCTTTTGCTTCCCCAAGCCTCCTGCAGTATGACCCTTTTTCTCACCCTAAAATCCTTATGTTTGGACCCATATCTAGCCCTCATGTACTGGTTTGTGGTAAATTATCATGTTGTGATGGTTCTACCAGTGTAAGGCACAACTCCTGGTCCAATACAGAAATGTATATACTTATATAGTGTAACCACAACTTCTACTCCAATACAGAAATGTATATACTTATATAGTGTAAGGCACAACTCCTAGTCCAATACAGAAATGTATATCCTTATATAGTGTAAGGCACAACTCCTAGTCCAATACAGAAATGTATACATCAGCATGGACATCACGATAAAAAATATGGATTGAACCTGAGACCTTTATCTGAGATTGTAAATTCTAATGTTCTGTCAGGTCCAACATTGTTGTTCACAGCATTTACATACATCTGGTCAGTATAACAAGTGATCTGATGTCACTTGGTCAGTAAACCTCTGGTCTGTATAACAAGTGATCTGATGTCACTTGGTCAGTAAACCTCTGGTCAGTATAACAAGTGATCTGATGTCACTTGGTCAGTAAACCTCTGGTCAGTATAACAAGTGATCTGATGTCACTTGGTCAGTAAACCTCTGGTCAGTATAACAAGTGATCTGATGTCACTTGGTCAGTAAACCTCTGGTCAGTATAACAAGTGATCTGATGTCACTTGGTCAGTAAACCTCGGGTCAGTATAACAAGTGATCTGATGTCACTTGGTCAGTAAACCTCTGGTCAGTATAACAAGTGATCTGATGTCACTTGGTCAGTAAACCTCTGGTCAGTATAACAAGTGATCTGATGTCACTTGGTCAGTAAACCTCTGGTCAGTATAACAAGTGATCTGATGTCACTTGGTCAGTAAACCTCTGGTCAGTATAACAAGTGATCTGATGTCACTTGGTCAGTAAACCTCTGGTCAGTATAACAAGTGATCTGATGTCACTTGGTCAGTAAACCTCTGGTCTGTATAACAAGTGATCTGATGTCACTTGGTCAGTAAACCTCTGGTCAGTATAACAAGTGATCTGATGTCACTTGGTCAGTAAACCTCTGGTCAGTATAACAAGTGATCTGATGTCACTTGGTCAGTAAACCTCTGGTCAGTATAACAAGTGATCTGATGTCACTTGGTCAGTAAACCTCTGGTCAGTATAACAAGTGATCTGATGTCACTTGGTAAACCTCTGGTCAGTATAACAAGTGATCTGATGTCACTTGGTCAGTAAACCTCTGGTCAGTATAACAAGTGATCTGATGTCACTTGGTCAGTAAACCTCTGGTCAGTATAACAAGTGATCTGATGTCACTTGGTCAGTAAACCTCTGGTCAGTATAACAAGTGATCTGATGTCACTTGGTCAGTAAACCTCTGGTCAGTATAACAAGTGATCTGATGTCACTTGGTCAGTAAACCTCTGGTCAGTATAACAAGTGATCTGATGTCACTTGGTCAGTAAACCTCTGGTCAGTATAACAAGTGATCTGATGTCACTTGGTCAGTAAACCTCTGGTCAGTATAACAAGTGATCTGATGTCACTTGGTCAGTAAACCTCTGGTCAGTATAACAAGTGATCTGATGTCACTTGGTCAGTAAACCTCTGGTCAGTATAACAAGTGATCTGATGTCACTTGGTCAGTAAACCTCTGGTCAGTATAACAAGTGATCTGATGTCACTTGGTCAGTAAACCTCTGGTCAGTATAACAAGTGATCTGATGTCACTTGGTCAGTAAACCTCTGGTCAGTATAACAAGTGATCTGATGTCACTTGGTCAGTAAACCTCTGGTCAGTATAACAAGTGATCTGATGTCACTTGGTCAGTAAACCTCTGGTCAGTATAACAAGTGATCTGATGTCACTTGGTCAGTAAACCTCTGGTCAGTATAACAAGTGATCTGATGTCACTTGGTCAGTAAACCTCTGGTCAGTATAACAAGTGATCTGATGTCACTTGGTCAGTAAACCTCTGGTCTGTATAACAAGTGATCTGATGTCACTTGGTCAGTAAACCTCTGGTCAGTATAACAAGTGATCTGATGTCACTTGGTCAGTAAACCTCTGGTCAGTATAACAAGTGATCTGATGTCACTTGGTCAGTAAACCTCTGGTCAGTATAACAAGTGATCTGATGTCACTTGGTCAGTAAACCTCTGGTCAGTATAACAAGTGATCTGATGTCACTTGGTCAGTAAACCTCTGGTCAGTATAACAAGTGATCTGATGTCACTTGGTCAGTAAACCTCTGGTCAGTATAACAAGTGATCTGATGTCACTTGGTCAGTAAACCTCTGGTCAGTATAACAAGTGATCTGATGTCACTTGGTCAGTAAACCTCTGGTCAGTATAACAAGTGATCTGATGTCACTTGGTCAGTAAACCTCTGGTCAGTACAGAAAGTGATCTGATGTCACTTGGTCAGTAAACCTCTGGTCAGTATAACAAGTGATCTGATGTCACTTGGTCAGTAAACCTCTGGTCAGTATAACAAGTGATCTGATGTCACTTGGTCAGTAAACCTCTGGTCAGTACAGAAAGTGATCTGATGTCACTTGGTCAGTAAACCTCGGGGTCAGTATAACAAGTGATCTGATGTCACTTGGTCAGTAAACCTCTGGTCAGTATAACAAGTGATCTGATGTTACTTGGTCAGTAAACCTCTGGTCAGTATAACAAGTGATCTGATGTCACTTGGTCAGTAAACCTCGGGTCAGTATAACAAGTGATCTGATGTCACTTGGTCAGTAAACCTCTGGTCAGTACAGAAAGTGATCTGATGTCACTTGGTCAGTAAACCTCGGGTCAGTATAACAAGTGATCTGATGTCACTTGGTCATTTGAATGCCTGTTTTTTGCATAAAAACAATTTTTTATAGTATTGTGAGTTTTTATGATACCTAACTTTAAGAATTCATGATGTGTAATATTGAGAGGGTTTATGACATATACCATTGTGAGAGTTTATGATATATAATATTGTGAGGTTTTGCGATAAATAAAATTGTGAGAATTCATGATGTAAAATATTGTGAGGATTTATGATATACAGTATTGTGATAGGTCATGATGTGTAATATTGGGAGGGTTTATGATGTGTAATATTGGGAGGATTTATGATATACAGTATTGTGATAGGTCATGATGTGTAATATTGGGAGGATTTATGACACATTATATTTTGAGAGACATGTACTGCTTGCAAGAAGTGCATGTCAGTTCACTCATTTTTAGGTTATCTGTGATAGCATCCCTTCTGGCCTCTCTAGCTTCAGTTTATATTGGTATGTATATAAATGTACAAGCTTATTCATTGTTTGTTGAAATACATGCTCATTATAATGAGAGCATTTGTTTACTCAGTGACATTTAAACCAATATTAAGATTCTTGTATCCTTTCAATGGTTTTGTTTAAATTACAAGGTATGTGACACCTTAAGCCCATGATGCTATATTGCTTAAAACTGAACATAGCAGTGAGACAACCTTTTACTTAATTACTGAATATAAAACTGCATGCACATGGTTATTGTTATTGTAGAAACAAGTAGAACATTTAAATTCAAGTGTGTAATGTCCTCAGTTTCCCATGTTCTTTGTTTAATATAAAGTTTATACAGACCTGTACTGAGTTATTGATTTTTATACATTATTGAACACAGTCAGCCAGCACATCTGTATTTATAACCATGTCTTTACTAATTAGTGGAATATGAGAGCCATTTTGAAACCTGAAAATTTAAAGTACAGAATTGGTAGTCTGTATTTAGCTACTTTTCCAATGATTAACGCCTGGACAGAACTAGATCTGTCATCAGGATGGCTGACTACCAGTAGGCCTTTATTTGGTCACCTTGGCAACCAAATGGCAATCTTTTTTTTTCTTGAAAATGACATCATTGTGTTTGTCATCTTCCTTCACCTTTTTATACCATTTTTCAACTTAATAAGATAATAGCTTAATTTCATCCAATCAGAGGTCTC